AGGAAATGGTTTAGCTGGGGTAGACATGTTTTGCTGTTGAAGATGACCGTGCTACCCAGCTTGTCGTGACGAGTTTGAGTTCTCTAGGGTGTCAGATTATAATATCAAATCCAGCTGCTTTATGGTTGTAGTTCTTCAAATATTTTATAGATAACATGTTGAAATTGTATAATGTATAGCATAACAGTAGGGTATGTAGCAAAGGACAAACAATAAAGTATGCAGTAAAGAAAGCAGTACAAAATGCAGTGTAAAGGAAAAGTAAAAAGAATACAGCAGGTAGGTGATTTGCAAGAAAGTAACATGTTAACAGCATATAACAAACCTGTATATCTGGGAGATCCGCTGTTCTTTAGGTGTAATTGATGTAACAGGTACAAACAACAAAGTGGAGAAGGGCACAGAAGTTTGTAAATGGCTGATTTTTTGCACAAACGAAAACAAAAAAACGTTGTCCAGAAATCTCGAGAAAGATCATCGAAAGACTCACGACAGGAGAAATGCCAGGAAATCAGCGAATCGACAAATCGATTAAAATCGTAGAAAACACGGGAAAATCCCGAAAATAAAGCACGAGTGCTTTATCCAAAAAAAATCGATAATACATATGAAAAAGTCCGAAAAGAGGGGACCGCAAACACTCGGGTCGGGGCTAGGCTCAACTATATATTAGTACTTGAGGGTCGTCGAAGGCTACTCAGTGACTCAGATGTATAAAACCCGCCACTCAACTAGAAGGGTGTTCTATCGAACCTAACTCAGGAGGGTACTTCTCAGCCTAAACAGGTGATCAACAGGTGGACAATCGATGTTTAAAATGTATTTAAAATTTATATTTTCAACATGCACATAGACTTCAAACATGCAAAAAAGTGGGCTGTATCAATTTTGTTTGTAGCGAAAAGTGTATTTTTGTTTTAGAGAAAGGTGTATCTATTCTTATCAAATTTATTTTTATCAATTTTGAAAAGTAGTTGTCCACGAGTCGATCGCGCTGTCGGACATAAGTCTACCAACAACCTAAGAAGGTTCGGGTTAACTCCCTCCAGTATTGTGTCGGTGAATGATATTGTCATCCTACAGCTCATTGGGTTCCTGAATCGGATCCCGATGTCATAGGATGACATATCATTATGCTCTAGCCCTAAGCCCCAAAACAAAACTGACCTACTTGCGACATTGCTTAATGGTTTCACGTATAGCAAAAGATTATACGTGGACACTTATATATCAGACATAAGCAAAAAAAATCGAACCAAGAAGCAAGGAAAAAAGTAACAAAAATGGGGTGAGAGAGAGGAGGGACTGATTCGCCTAAAACATCGACTAAAACATCGAAAAGAACGAAACATCGAAAAGAACGAATGATGAATCAACTCTCAAAACTTATGACGAAAAAACCTGAAAAGGAAAGCTCGAATATCCTTGAATCCATCCGAAAGGATATCATTTTCTCACGTTTTCATAAGCGGATCAACCCAAGTCAAAATGACCCTCTAACGCTGGTATCCAAACCCCAAAAATATTTTTTATGAAATCAATTTGTCTCAGCCAAACATTCTCCCAAGATAAAATTTGGAAATCTCCCAAACTTCATAAATCGAGTAAAAGGAAAGTGACTTCGGGGAAACCACCACTAATATTTCCAAACCCATACAAAAATCAGGATCTTCCAACTTTCAAATTAATCAATAGCCTCATATATCAAATAAGTATAAAATCTTCTCATATAACCAAATAAATGCTCACGGTCGGGGTCAATACAAAGAGATAAACAGCATGTAAGCTAAGGCAACCCACAAGGGAGGCAACTACTAAGGCTCACGACTAAGGGCAGCAAGGGATAGCTGCTAAGGCCCATGACCAAAGGCAACCCAAGGAACGACAAGTAAGGCTCACGGCTAAGGCAACCAAAAAGGAAAAGGGGAGCTATTAAGGCTCACGACCGAGGCAACCAAAAGAACCGCCAGTGACTGCTATGCTCCCTTGTCATACATAAGAGGATAACTACAATGATTATAATTTTTGGGATGGCAAATTTGATTCATCAACAAAATATAAGCTAATTAAGTACAACAAGAAAGAGCCAAAAGACTCCAAATAACCCACCCAACAGGCTCACGGGTAGGACCAAAGGGGGAGACTAACTCAACCACATCACAAACCCACGGCTAGGAACCAAGCAAATATAAAAAAAAAAAAACTGCAGCCTTATAAACTTCCAAACCAATCCATCAAAACCAGCTGACCGTTCTCGAATAAGGACAACACAGTACGCCAAAACATGCTCTCGTTTAGGAGCTAAAACTAACAAAAATCAAAACCTAAGCCAATTCTCGGGTAGAAGCTAAGGCAAGCAAACCGAACCCTCAAACAAAATAAAATCGAACCGCAGCTAAGGTTCAAACTCAAGCCACAACAAAAGGGTAGAAAACACTTCCATGCCTTCAAGACATAAAAATGCAATGCCACTATATATTTCGGATGAGGATAGTTATGGAACTTTTCCAAATCAAAATAAGTTCCTCCACATCATGTGCTTTTAAGCCAAATATGGTCATAAAATGCCAAAACTGAGTCAACCCAAGTCAAAATCGAGCTCAGCAAGGCCAAAACCGAGCCCAGCAGGGTCCAAAGCAAATAGAACCGAACCTTTCCACAGCTATTGAGCAGGGGTAGGAATGAACACCACAACAGACTCTCAGGTAGGAGCTAAGACAAACAAATCGAGCTCCCAAATCAAGCCAAAACCGAGCCTAGCAGGGCTAAAACAAGACCCAAGCATCGATATAAACTCAGGCTTTAACAGAAATTAAATTTCCGGATACTTCAAGGTGAAACCGCTCCATTTAGAACCAAAGAGTAGTCACCATGCCTTTTGAGACATCAAGATATAGAGCCAACATATGTCTTAAACAAAAGCAACAATATAGAGAGCATGTTTAGGCCCCCAACTTAAATATTCCAAACATGAAACAACTTCCAATAAAAGTTTAAACAAAGTGATGCCTCGTGAGGTGTTAAACCCAACCACCAAAATAAGTTACAAGATTTGTCGAATTAAATAAATCCTCCTACAACATGTATTTCAAGCAAGGAAGAGCCATAAGAAACCAAAGCCGAGCCCCCAAATATGCATGAAAGGCCAAATAAACTCTCCAATATCTCATGCTAAGTAAGAATGGATGAAAAGCCTCATAATACATATCACAACATGCTTGCAAGAGGAGCTAACATTGTCTCAAAGCCATGTTTCAACCTTCTTATTCACAATAATAGAAATATGCCATAATTTCATCTCAAGCAAGTAGAGAAAAGAGGAATACTTATATCATGCTATATTTCCACCATTTTAAGCAAGTAATCAAGTCCAATCCCTAGAACATGCTCATACTTCCATCTCTAGATGCTGGAGTAACATGCCTTTCAAAAATATAAGTGCAACACTAAGCTAACATGCCACATTATCCATTGCACCAAGCTAACAGAGACTCGGCAGAGAGCAAAACCGAAAACAGGGCAAGACACAAAGGGGGAAAAGATACCTCCTTGAAGCAAAAGCAAGTAACACAGGAACTTTAAAGACACTCCCCAACTTCAATTTCTCCTCCAACAACAAGAAGAAACCAATTCAAGCACCAGAAAATTAAAGAAGTGAGAAAAGAAAATGACAGTTTTTTTTTTCTTAGAGATTTTC